AGTAAGCCAGGTATGGAGGCAATCTCCTCTGGTGCTCCTAACCCTGTTTTTGTAGGAACAACTGCTCCCTTATTTGAGTTCTGTTCTCCCTTCTGGCATCAATAATGTCTTCCAAGGAGGTCAAAAGGTTAATTGCACCAAGGAGAGCAAGTTATCCATGAGAACTCGTGCACACTTTATCTCTGTGCATGTTTATGCATCCACAGTCACTTCTTCAGGTTCCCTGCAGACCCTGAAAGATGATCACTGATCATTCACCTCCATACATTTATCTCTTAGAGCCTGGGAGAAGGGAATGCCACGTGCACGTGGCAAATTGCAGTGCCATGGGAGTTGCTGCACATGCAGTAGGAAACTCCTGCTGGTCTCCCCTTCAGGTGCTCTGGAGGATGCCCTGGGGTGGTTACAGCCTTTCCCCCCTCTCAGGACCACTGGCATCTGGAGCGGCCAGGAGCTGTGGTGCTGCTCTACAGTGGATGAGAGGCAGGGATGTAGGAGCAACTGTCATGCTCTTTGCATGGGTCTTGGCAAAGCAGAGCCTGGAAACAGAAGTAAAGCAAACAATCAGCAATGTCAGCCTCTTCCTTCTCTGTGTGTTACCCAAGATGTAAAACCCAATAATAAATATATAATGAACAAGGAAACATAGTGTGAGACCTAGGAATGCTCTGTTTTGCTTTCAGAAATGGAAGTTTCATCAGTTGGTTTGCAATGATATTGTTTTTTTTTTTTTTTTTTTTTTTAACAAAAGCTAAAAATCTCTTAAGAACATCCAAGGAAAGTACATATATAGAAGTGACCCCTAAGATTTTTTAATAGCAATCCTAAACCCTGAGTGATTCTGAGTGAATAGGAACATGTTGGAAATTTACATTATGCACACAAGATAACGATGACCAGTGGTCAGTCTTATTCCGATTAATCAGATTAATAGAGATATGAAGCACCACAGTAGCTGCTTTATTGTCTGGAAATATCTCAGTCCTTTCTGTCTGTCATACTCACCTATCACGTTGTAACCATCAGTGGGACTTATGATAGCCAGACTCTGGTCAATCAGTAGTAGGTCATCCTACACAAAGTCAGAATTCATCTAGCAAGGTTTCAGACCTATCAGGAGATTAAATTTTCCAGGCTGCAGCTTTTATTTGCTAATCAAACACTATATTCTGTGAGATAACCCATATTTTGATGACAAAGAGCAGGGCTGAAATTATATGCCGGTCTCTTTTCAGCGCTGAGACCTTCCCCATCCTTCACCACCTTTTCTTGCCCATTTATCTGTGATTTTACACCTTCTATTCCCAGCTGGCACAGACTCCCCCTTTGCCCCTGGCTAGACCGATCCAGACTTCAGGTGGGGTTTCGCTTTTCCCCTGAGCTGACCCGAGACATATCAGTTTGTAGTCAGCGGGGTGTTGGATGCTGAGCCTCTTTGATCCCAATGATATTCAGGGACTGGGCTGTAAATCCTTTCTGTGCCACTGCCCAAAGGTACGTGTGCCGTGCTTGCAATAGCCTTCCTCCAACACGTCAGGAGCATGGGGAAAGTGAGTGAAGCCCAGCTGGACACCCCAGCCTTTGTGCCTTGAGGCCTTAAGCTGGTGGGTTCAAAGGCTGGAGGGGGGTGGTGGAGGTGCAGGCAGCCACACAAACAGCTAGAGTGACTATGTGAAGACAGACGGCTTCACTCCTCCCTACCTTTTCCAAAATCATCAGGGAGTGCATCTGTTGAGCGTAAGAATTTTGATTTTGCTTTATTTCTATGTGGCATTGTCCTGGTTTGAGCCCAGAGGGCAACTGAGCACCACGCAGGCGTTCACTCACCCCTTCCCCTCTCAGGAACGGGAAGGAGAAAATGAAGCAAAATGCCTCAGGAATCCAAATATGGCTCGTCCACAGGTCACGGGTGAAAGACAAACTCATTAGGGGAAGAAAATAAAACATCACTTTAATTCAAACTGTAACAAAGACAACACTTAACAGACAAGGTGGGACAGGGAGAAGCACCAGCACATCCAAACACACCTCCTCCCACCCCTCCAGCCCTGCTCCCCATCTCTCCCCCTCCTCCCCCAGCGGCATGGGGAGCAGATCTCCTTGCCGTCTTGGATGTAAGCGTTCTTGAAATTTCATTCCCCTTCCTTCTCGCTTCTCACTCGACTTAGGAGCCTGCTGTGTGTCTGCAGCCGGTGCTGGCAGCCAGCAGAGCAGAGAGGCGCGGGGAGAGCTGGTCTGCGGGGTGCAAGGTGCTGCTGCAGGAGGGACACTGCTTCCCGGGGAGGAGCACGGGGCACGCTCCCGCTCCCACTCCCACCACATGCTCAGCAGTACCCAAATGTGTTGCAAACAGGGTACCCCTCTGAAAAATGTCTCCCGGCACAGTTGCTGTTTCAGAAGTCCTGATGAATGAGAATGGAAGTGGGCGGCATCTCTTCCCGACTAGTGCCAGAAATCTCTTCTTTTTCATTGAAAACTCTATATGTAAGCACTGAGATCCAGCTGGACTCTGTAGATGTGCAGACAGGAGGGGCACAGGGACTTTAGTCTCTTGGGAATGTGTCTTCATTAACATCAGTGCTAGCTTTACAGGCGGTTAGAAGCGGTGGAGCCAGACTGCAAAAGTGATGAGTTTGGAGGAGATAATGTGGAAGTAATGCATAAATGAAAGGAGGGCCCAATAAATTTCTCAATATGAGGAATGGGCAGGGGAGAGGGGAAAACTATCAGGAGATCAGTTTAAAACAGGTAGAAGACAATGCTTTTTTACAGAGCGGGTAGCAAACATTGAAATTTGTTGTACCAAGGGGTTCAAAAAGGGATGGACAACAGGCCTGTTAGTGGATGCTGAAGGGAACGGGTAGGGTTCCTTCCCCAAGCACCCCCCAGCCTGTGCCTGGGGATGCCAGGGAAGTGCCAGCTATGGATCCCAGGAAGGCCAGACACACGTGGCCTTGGCAGTGCACATGAAGTGCCCTGTCACGGGTGGACATGTGGACATGGAGGCAGACGGAAGAGCCAGCCTGCTTCATTTCTGGGGGATGAAGGAAACCCAGTGATGCCACCAGTTTGGAAATGCTTTCTGCTCTGCCTGGTACGATCCAGCAGTGGTCTTGTCAACGAAACCCAAAAGCTTGTCTCATGATCAGGACCGTGATGAAAAGGAAAGCTTCTCATGGGAAGCCTGGCATGGGCCCTCAGGAATCACCAGCACCTGAGATCTGGGCTTCAGAGAGGTCTCTGGGGATGGGGAAAAGTTGTACAAGGCAACGCAGGTAATGTCAAGATAGGCCCAGGGAATACCTGTGGGACGCAATCACGTTGCAGGTTTTGTGGGGAGGAAAGGGACTGTCGGCACATACAAAGCAACCATTAGAAAATAAGCTGGCATCCAGGCTGTTGGGTTTCTCTAAGTGCAGAAGCTGGTGGACCAGCAAACATCAGCTCTCTGAGAACAGTATGAAAGTGCAAGCAAAGCCTGATGGTGAGAAAGGGTTCCTTTGTGGCTGCTTTTGTAGGAAAATTAGCTGTTTAAGGCTGCAGCATCCTTTGCAAAAGCAAAATGCTACTGTAACTATGATTGCCTAAAGGGAAGCTATTTCTCTTCCTTCTGGTTGCTTTGCCTGGCAATTGTTAGGCAGTAACTGGAAATGAGGAAGAGAACCCTTTTCTCTCTTTTTTAAAAAAAAAACCCAAACCCACAACATTTTGGTTTTGCAGCTATGAAAGCAAGTAATTTTCCTTAGAAGCTTGTGTTCTCTTAAATGGCAAGTTAAACTCCTGCACAGCCTGGCAAACATGACTTTCTCCAAGCTCAGCCTCTTGCTTTCAAACTCTGCTTCTCCCCAGATTGAAAGGGTGCTGTTGCAAGACTTCCCGTTGCTGTATGCTGTGCATACTGGTCTCTGGCTTTGTGTCAAAGCCCAGCAGCTTGCTGTCATATGGAGCTGAAAACCCCTCTGCTACTCCTTCCTTGTTCCCTAGTTATTAGACAGCACGGTAGATGCTTCGTTAGTGAAGCCAGTCTTTGTGGGGCATGTTGATTAATTGGATTCCTATTTAACTTCCCTGTCAAGATTGCCAGCATGGCCACTACAGCTGTGGGAAAAGAGATGTGCACACTCAGCAGAAATTTCTCCTTGACCTCTTAAACCAGTGCTGCAAGGGGAGAGAAGGGAAGCGCAGTGGTTGTCACAATAATAAACCACTCTGCAAAAAACCAATCATTCTGTCTGCCTTGTGAGAAACATTTGACTCGCCAGGTACATCTGAGCAAGGTGGGCCTTACAGGAAAGAGTCTAAAACCGGGGTTGCCTGTGCGCTCCCTGGGCTGGTCAGCTGGAGTGGTGGGAGCACTTCAGGCTCAATTCAGGAAAGGAAACGTTTGAACAAGCACAGGCTTCGCTGAAGCACTGAAGCCCTGCAAATTTGGACCTTCGTAACAATTTCTTCTTACCTGGGTGCCTACAACAATTCAGAAGTGCTAAACTCCAGGCTTCTCATCTTTATTCATATTTAAGATATTTTTTCTTTCCCCTTTGGGACACAAAGGGAAGGAAGGGAAACTTGGATATAGAGCAAGGCAGTTTCTCTGCTCGTGTCTTGTTGAGATGCTCCAGAAGAAAACAGTTCTCTGACACCAATTAACTCTAGCAGAGGATCTGCTGATTTTAAGTGGGACATCAAATCTCATTGAGATAGAAATAACTCTTTTATTCTTTTATTCCTGCCTCAGTTCTCAACACTTTATCAAATTCTGGGCCTGGACTTCTGCCAAGTCTTTTCAGAAATAATTAAATGATTATTCTTAGTGGCAATCTAGGAAGACTTTCAACTTAAAAAAAAAAAAAAAAGCAGCAAAATCTACCCTGCATTTGTTACAATTTTACCCCTCTTTTTCATTAATGACTCATTCCTGGTCTAGCCTGGCAAATATGTTTACGATTGTACAGTTCACTGAATTTTTTTCACCTCGTATTTCTTTTTCTGCTATCCTACAGGGCTGAATATTGGACGATGATGGAGGGAAAATGACTTGAAGGCAAGCCAAGGAGGGGTGTAGAAACAAGGCAAGCATGGTGGAGAAGGAGAGACTCACTGGAGCAGGGAACGCCAAGGAGAAGGTAAGGAAACGGCTGATTTATGGCCACCTGGTGAGAAGACAGATGGAAAACGGTTTGGGAAGCTTTTGGAGAAGTGTCATGTGGATTATAAATGAAGTAGAGGGAGAGAGGGGAACCAGGCACAAAGCGAAGGTAACAGAAGCTGGCAGGGCTTCTTGGAGTAAAACTCTGTCACGGTTTCGCAGCTGGAACTTTTTTTCCCACAAGGAAAAGTAAATTCATCAATGCCACCACACTTGGTAAATTCCTCTTGGTTCTGCCAAGTCAGTCATATCGGAAGTAAAACAAGTAAGATAAGAAGAAAATATCCCTACTGGTATTTTGAAATGAAATATTAATTCCAAACATCTTGGATGCTCCCTTCCCTTGTTGATAAAAATTGAGAAAAATGATTGTGCAAAGCAGAATGTATGTTCCTCATTGCTTCTGTCTTTTGCTGAACTTAAAGATACATTTTAGTTTTTGTTGGAAAAAATTAAGACTATTCTGGTTAGGGAGGAGTTTGAATACTCTTCTTAATTTTGGGTACAGGCATTGTCAGTAGTGCAAGAGTAGATGTTAAGGCCCTTGGTTATTCGTGTTGCTCTGGAAGTCCCCCCCTAACCTGGGGCTGGGCCTAAAGGCAAAAATTCTGGGATGGGGCTTTGGGGACCGGTAGTGTTCTGGATAAAACACGATGCATGTGGGTTTGAAATTATGTTATATGAATGAAGGGAAGGAAAGTCCCCTGAGGGTGGTCAAGCACAAAGATGCCACTTCTGGCTCCGGAGGCTGAGAGGTTTGTGGGAAGTATTGCTGCATGGTCGTCCTATTTTTATACTTTCCTTGAGTCATCTGTATTCCCAGTGCCCGAAAGGGTGCTGGATCAGCCACGCTTTTGGGCTGACTCTAAGGTCACTCTTTCCATGCTTGTTTTAAGCTTTTATGAAGAGAGAGAAAACAAGTTCCCCCTAGCTTTTAATGGCTGGAGAGAAGATGGGGAAAAACAAGTCATCCAGGCAGGATTTCTACTAGTATTTTTCCATGCACACACAGTGTCCTGCCTTGAGCATCTTCCCAGTGAAGACATTAAGCCAATTTATGGGGCGAGTGAGACTGGTGAGAATATGAGAATGGTGCAATTAGAGTTAATTAAACATGCTGATGTGAAGTAATGAGTCTGGATTTCTAACACCCACACAAGCACACCAAGGATGAAGTGGGAGGAATCCTGTAACTCTTGCGTGTGATATGAAGTTTTCAGAGGCATCATTAAGACACACTGACTACTGGGCATTTTCAGACAGAATGGATTTAATATGTGACACAAGCAAGTGAAGCACTGAATAATTTAGACTGGAAGGGACCTCTGGAGGACTCTGGTCCGATCCCCCTGCTCAAAGCAAGGCCAGGAGGATCAGGTTGCTTATAGCTGTATCTGGTCAAGTTTTGAATTCCAAGGATGGAGTATTCTCACACCTCTGAACCTCTGTTTTCATGTTTAACTACTGACTTCATAAAAAAAAAAAAAAAATCCTAACAAAAGAAGAAAATGAGATACAAACAGGGGTTTTGGTTCTGTGCTGTGAAGTGGTTGGTGCTGAGGACCGCAAGTCCTTGACAGAATGAAGTCCCCCTACTCTCCAAGAGCTATGTTCCTGGAGTATGTTTTCGTGTCCAGTTTTGTATGAAAAGTATCTGTCTTGCAGGCTCTAAAGCCACTCTGCAATGTGACCCAAAGCTTCGTGAGAGGAGCAGCTGGGGGATTTTTTCAGATGTGGACTCCTGCCTTGGATTATAATTGCTGTGTGCATGCTGTACCTTCTCTCAGGGAGTGTTACAACGTGTGCTTTATAGTTGAGCAAATTCCTTAGTGCTTTTTAGGGCTGGGCCTGCAGGGGCTTGTAAATTTTAGCTGGGAATCTCCTGAGCCCTTCCCTCTCTGCGTTCGCTTTGCTCCCACAGTGCCCACGACAAGACGACCATGTGAGATAAGCAGTATGAATAGGGAGACTTTGTTCTCCACCTTTCCAAGCGAGCAGCTCCACACAGCAGCATGCTGAATTCCAATGAAGGCACTGAATTGTGTCTGAGGTTTATTATTATTATTTTTTTTAATTATTATTTTTATTTCTCTGGCATTGCTGTTTCTCTTGGGGAGAGCAAGTTGCTGTATGAGATTACATTTGGTGATCTTTCTGAAGGCTATTTTAATAATGCTTCAAATTAAACAACAAAAAAAAAAGACTGAAAGGAAAGGAGGAGGACTCCACAGACATCCCACTATTTAGTCCTTTTGAATCTACATTGGCTAAATTTTTATCATCCTCATCACCGAGTTTCCAGAGTAAAGGGCCTCTGTTGCAGCAGAGACTGGCTTCCCTTGGGGAGCATAACGCTGGCCCTGTTTGCCTGGTGAGGTTTACCTTTTGGGGCTTTTGTCCTTGTTCTCCTAGCTGCAGGGACCAGGGGAGCTGGGGAGTTGGGCCAGCTCGTGGCAAGCTGGTGCATACCATGGGCAGCGTGACGGAATCTGCACCGACCACGTTCTAGGAACCAGCGCGTTTTCTTTCAGGAGCCTCGGTGTCCTGGGCCAGGACAGCACCCTTCGTGCCTTTGGACTTTGAAGCAGCCCACAGAGAGGACTCCAAGGTCTGATCTCTGTGTGCCACTCTTCTTCCCGTGCCACAGCAGCTGAGGCTTGCTTCGTGACAGCTGAGCACATGAATTTTTATCTCGGCTGTGCAGGTGTGGCAATTAAGGGTAGGCTGCTAGGAGTAAAGCACTTTCAGAACAGTACACACCATTAATCCCATCCTCCTCAGCACAGAATACTCCAGCATCTTAGTAAATGAAAGGAATTAAATCTATTTCTTCAGGTGGTTTCCTATAGAAGCAAGGATATTGTGATTTTTCTTGGTGGTTTCTGTCTCCCTTACTCTTCTCTCCATCACTTTTTTACTCTTTTAGCTAGTTTCCACCAGATTTAATAGTAGGGGAGAGATCTAAAAGGTTATATGTTCAAACAGGGTTTCCCTCACCTCAAAGAGGTGGCCATGTAGGGGAGGCATTGGAGGAGTGATTGTCAGTGAAACAACTGAAATGTGGGGTTAAGCCTTATTAGACATCAGAGAATCCTCAGATGAGAAATGAAACCTGTTAGCAAAGTATCCAGACTCCTACATCAAGGGTCTTGAATCTGTCTGGGGACATAACTCTGCCTCGTGCAGTGGAGAAGAAGTTGGAAAGGGAGCACCAGGGGCCTAAGTGCTTTGGGATCAGTATCAGTAACTGGATTTTCTTGTGGATTGCTCAGCAGGTGGAACAGCAGTGGCAAACCACTGAAAACAGCACATATCAATAACATTTGAAAATTAATCATCTAATTTCCTGCAAGTGATAAGAAAATTTTCCTTGTCTGAGAGTAATTTGCAGTCATTCATGGCAATTTCTAATATTTAAATACCAAGTAAATTAATTATTTGACATTATTTTTAGTTAAATGATTTACTGTAATTGCAATGACTAAATAAATCAATTACCTGAAAAAAAAAAAAAAAAAAAGCCCCAGACAAACACCGTAAATCAATTACTTACTATTTAATAGGAATTACCTGGCATTACAGAAAACAACAGAGGAACAAATCCTTTTATGACATCAGCAAAATTCGATCACTGCCTAGGCACAGGGATTTCAGTGCACCATTGCATCTTTAGTTAACTCACGAGATAACGTAATGGAATAGTGAGAACGCGTGGGAGCCACGAGCCCGGCTGAACCGCCACGCACCGAGAAGCAAGCAGCTGGGCCGTGGTCTTCTGAACCACCTCGGGAGCAGGAAACACCGAGCTGGGTGGCCACCACCTCTGCCAGGGAAGTGGCGACAGCAGGTCGCATTAGTGGATGCCTGGAAAAACGCCACCAGTGCTGGGAAAACCAATCTCGTGTTAGCAATCATTGAAGAAGGTACTGGAGAACATTCTTGTTACGGCTGCGAGCGGGGGGTTAGGGTTAGCCCACACCTTGGACGTGGTGCGCAGCTCCTGCCCGCTCATCCCAGGAGGGTCTGTTAGGAGTCACTTGCACAAATGCCAGTGGAGATGGTTGGGGTCTGTCACGGCTCCTGCGTGAGGAAATCACGGATGAGCAGGGTAGGGCTGTTTGGCCTGGGAATACGGTGCTGGAGAAAGTTTGCGTGTGTATGAGGGAGGACTGGAGAAGAGAGGGCTACGTGGAGGGCTGCTGAATGCACAAGATGCACCGTGCCTAGGGTAGTACAGCTGACATCAGCTGGAGAGCGGGGCAGTGCCCGGGGAAGTGTCGAACAGCCTGGCAGAGCCCCTCGACCGGCACTGGGGTGTCTCCTCCCTGTCCCACGCAGCAGCGCAAGAAACGGAGCCCGGCTTCCCACCGGCTGGAGCATCACCAAGGCAATAACCTCAGCAAGAACCTGCTCTGCCGGCGAGAGGCTGGGCCCGCGTTCCGCGCGGCGCTGGCCATCGGGAACCCCTGCCCCCACGGACCTGCCAGCGATCGCCGTAACTGCCGAGCTCCCCCTGGCAATTTCCCTCCAGAGGACGCGCTCAGCTTGCGCCTCCCTACCCAGCCAGTGACTTTCACACAGCTTGGAGGAATATAATTATCTTCCGGAGCTCAAATTATGTCTGACGAGCTTTAAATTGGGCAGCAGTTCAGTGTTAGTCATGGGAAGGCAGACAGGCAGATGGATGGTGCGGTACAGTGTGCAAACCCTGGCTCATTAAGGAAGTGGTGTTAGAGCCCACCAGAGCTCAGCTAAACAGGCATGTTATTATTTCCAGTCTCCTGTCCATTTGTCTCATTACTGTTATGACAGGCTTTGTTTGCTTGGGATGCTGAAAAAAGAGGCTAGAATCAGAAATTAGGCTTAAAACAAAATTACTCAAGGGAAAAGAAAACACATTTTCAGTGGGGTATTCTCAGAAGGAAAGCCCACATCCCAGCGGTGTGTGTGGCATTAAGGTGTCGCTCCTGGTGATAGTGTGACTGCCTCGTGACCCGACAGTCCCGCTCAAGCACCTCCCGCCTGCTTTGGCTGGCCCGGCGGTCACTGGGAGCGAGACCAGATCCCCGCTGTCCTCCTCAGCACCCCCAGCTGGGGAGAGCCCAGCCTGATGGGGCTTGGTGGATTTCCTCCATGCAGAAATCCCTGTGAGCTGCCTGAAATGGTGGCACAAAATGTGCCCAGCGGGGATTTCCTCTCCCCTGGACTGAATTCCAGCCCCAAACTGCCCCTGGCCATACAACCAATGCGCTGTTTTCCCAGTGTGGACTTCCTGACAGAGGTGACATTTCACAGGGAAGTATCTGCTGCTGCTCCTGACATAAAGACAAAACTGCCAAATGTTGAGTCTCTCCTCCAAAGCACTGGGGGTAGGGGTGAATCCCTAAAGGAAGAAGTAGGAGCCTTTAAAAAAAAAAAAAAAGTTTCACCTTCTTTTTACCCAAAGCAGTTAAACCATTTTGGCTGAAGACTTCTTCAAGGCAACCTTCTGAAGAAAAAGGCTAGCTATGCAAAGTTTTCCCAGGTGAACTTTGGGAAGAACCGCAGATAACTGGAATACCTAGTTCCATGATGAGAAGCACCATGTTGCTTTGCCAGTGGGTAGTGCTAACCAGGGACACGGGGGGTCTTAATTGCACAAAACAGATACACGTGCTTGTGCCAAAAGGGAAGAGCTGATCCCCAGTCCTGCGCTAGGAGGTGTGGGCTGGAGCATCTGCTACAGGCAAGGCTGGGGAGGAATCGGGAGGCAGAGGTGGGAAGTGATGCTGACTCAAGGAGATATGAGAGGCTCCTCCGTGCTCATCCTTACCCCCAGCCAGCAAGGGACATGGCGCTCCCCAGCCTCTGACCGCAGGCAGGTAGGTAACTGGAGCTATTAGCGACTTGAACCTGGCTCTGTTTTTAATGCAGCCCGACAGGAGCTCTCACAACAGCACTGACAGGCTCCACCCAAGTGCAAAACCTTTCCTAGGAAGCAGGATTTACTCTTGCCACCCTTACTGGAGTACTGTCAGACATTATTGCATTACAATTGCTAAGCATTTAATGTGCCTCAGCTGTGTCCCTGATTGCATCAATTAACCATGGATCAACTGAGAAGCCAATTTATGTTTGAAATAGAGAGACTTAATGAGATGTCTGCATTGCTTTTTTTTTTTTTTTTTTTAATGAAAAAAAAAAAAAGTACCGCACCTGGGAGGTGGAGGTTAATGCAGAAGTCTATCATTATTGTTTCGGTCTTTGTCTTACAAAAAGCCCCCTTCACAATGGTGCTAAGTGCTGTCCATACAGTTAGAGGCCCTGCTACAAAAAGTTTAACTTTGATATGTCACACTGGAATAATTCTTATTTTGCAGAAATTAAGGCCTAGAGCCATCTACACAAAACAGCATGCTGGGACATAAAAGCACTGGGGATGGCAAAGTTCTCCAATATTATGGCAATAGGAGTATAAACTAGAATATCATAAAATCTCTTTGGGCTAGTTAAACCACGAGCAGATTCAGCAGCAATTTGTCCTGTCACTGGTGGTGACAGGTCCTAGCTCTGTGCTCTGGCACGACCTACTTGGATAAGTCCTGTGCTTTAATGGTAAGGTTGTAAGTGATACCACAGCTGGTGTCAGTTTAACAAGATTTTTCTGTTTCTGACAAATACCACTGATCATGAGATACAAGAAGCGGTGCTGATGGAAGGAGTTCATCTCCCATCTCACCTGCTGAATGCTTTTGGAAGGCTTCATTACCATGCAAATGGAGATTGCACACAGCCTAATAAAAATACATCTGTCAGACTGCACACATTTATAACATCAAATGCTAGCATAGCTACGATTTATAGAGTGAATGAATTTCTATCTGGGGCTGGTTAGACTTGGCCTGCCACTGGAAACAATAAGGGTTAATTATGCTTCAGTAATTTGGACATCTTTCTGATGAACAAATCATTTCTTATTGGACCCCGAAAGCTGCCATGATACTAGGAAACTTTTGACCTTGAAATGGCGGAGGAGGATTTTGACAAAGAAATTGCAGAACTGACAAAGGAGAAGGCAACCTACATAGGTACCAAGCAGCAATGAATTCAGTCAAGTGAAGGGGGGAGATAATCTTCTAACTCAGCCATAACTTTGCAAGGGACCAAGTTGTCATCGGTCTTATTTTGGAGCAAGCCTCCAAGGAGACATGTCTGTGATGGTGCATGCATTGAGATGAAAGACCTCAAGGGTGTTACTGCTGTGTCCTGCTATGGGAAAGCAGGAGGAGATGCAGGGACACTCGTGTCTGGGGTACCCCAGGTTGTAGAGTGTGATGATACAGGCACCGAGCTGGCAGCCCAGGAGCAAGCAGCTGTGTAGCCTGGGCTGCACAGTGGAGTTTCTTCCTGGGAAGGTTAGGGGGGCTCAGAATCCAGGGGAAGCAACTGCACTAAACATACGACGTTGTGCTTTTCTTCCTCCGTTTGGGGAGCCCACCTCTAGGCACAACTAGCAATGCCTTGGGCAGAGTCCCCGAAGAAAGAAGTTGTCCTGCTTTGCCAAAGCCACCGAATACAGCAGGTGGTCCAGTTAAACATGGGTTGACTTCTTTATAGCTGTGGTGGTATATCAGCACCTCCCTAGAGTGATTTACTCCATGCTGGGAGACACAGCTAAGGAAAGTGGAGTGAATCATCCTCCAAAGTTGTCTACCTCTCTCCAGGATCTGCAAAGGAACTCTGGGTGAGACAAATCCAGACAGGCATGCTACAGCCAGATGGAGAAAGTTACACAGGACAATTTTCTTCCTGAATGATGAGATTTCCTCAGGTAGTGGAGTACAAACAGCCCCTTCAAGCAACACCAGGGGGAAAGAGTGGAGGCTCATGCCCAAGGTACATGAGGTCCATCCTGGGAGCCAACAACGTAGGGAAACAACAGCCAGTTTTGTTCACAAATGCCTGTCACAGAACATACATCACTTTTGGTGTCACTTAAAATTAGATGGACAAACCTCCCATGCATCCTGAATCCCAGTAGAGCTACCCTGTTTTCTGAAATAGTTCTATATGGGCAAGAGAACATCTGTACACCTAGCGTTTCATTCACCTCTCCAGCTTCTGTTGAATGCATCTTAGATTGGTGATTACAGGCAAATAATTTATTGATGTATTAAAATTGACATGTGCACAGTACAAGGCATTTGCCAGTGCCCATACATTGCATTTCCTGAGGCAATACTGGCAAAAAAACATGGAAAATGAGTTCGGACCTAGTTACTTTTGCAAAGGCCCTCAAGGAAAAAAGACAGAAGAAAGTTTTTAATTTATACTAGAAACCTGAAGCAGCGCCTGTGCGTTTAACCTGAGCTCCAGGATGTATGTTTCTTGGAAATATATAAATGTGTTCCCAGGTTTTCATCTAGACGTGTTGTCTTGAAACCCAGCTTGATTATCATGCTTTTCAGAGTAAGTGTTTGTAAGTGGTTAGCGCAAAACGTCTCTGCCTTGTATTACAAAGATTGTTCAGATTTCTGTGCTAACAATTTTCATGGCTTTTGCCTTCTCCACAAAAGAAAAGCTAAGAACAGGTGGTAGTCCAGTGACCAAAAATTATGTCTGCATTGATTAACATTGAAATGAACCCTGCAGAGCTTACAGGAAAACTCCTTAGTCAAGGCACTGGTACTTGTTTGAAGAACTAGTTGGTAATTTTTAGTGGAAAATGGCCTTTGACTTAATTAGGCTTTCTTATTTCTCTTTTGGGATTTTTTTTATGCCAAGAAAAGCGTGTGTACTGGACAGCAAACAATGCATTTTCATGTTATTTCTTTTCCCAATACTGCTTCTCCTCCCTCCTTCCTGCTCTGCTCAACATGTAGTAAAGAACCATGGAGTTTTTGGAGTTTTCCATCAAAAAGTGTAATTCTCTAGTCAAGTTTATTTGTTGTTTTCTAATGTTTGTAAACAGTAGCCATGTATTTCTATGTGACTTACCTCACATATATTAAGAGTGAGGAAAAAGAATGTCTGGTGTAAATTCTGCGTGAGAGAGCCGCTTTCTGATACCTGCCAGTATCATATGTGGCATATTCCCAAACAGGCAGCTGGGTCTGCAGGCAGCAAGCCCCACATCGAGGTGCATGGGCCAGGGGAGAATCACAGTTACGGAATTCAGTCCATCAGCACATCTTCAGATTTGCCCGAGACAATTTTCCTCTGTCCTTATGTTGGTGTCACTGGGTACCGTGGCGATCCCCGTTATTGTGGCAGGACGAGCACATCAGGAGGAGTAAGTATTTCAGCTGCTGATCACCAAGTCTGGCGTGTGCTGACCGCGTCGGGCCAGGGACCGGTTTTCAGCTGAACTTCCATATTGCTGAAATGTGTCTGTTCCTACAGGTCTTGTGACAGTTTTTTGCTCTAATCCCCCTCTGCCATTTTCACTTCTTCATGGTAGGCAGGTTGGGAACAGCTTTAAAAGCATGGGCATGTCTATGTATCCCACACCTACAGCTCTACACACAGGTACACACAGGCTCTCCTTAGCTTTGTATTATTCTGGCGTTTTCCGAGGATGTTAATAAATTAGAGACACATACTCTGTTATTTTCAGCTGCTGGTTTGTCCTCTTTATACAGCGCTAACCCAAATGCTGTAGAAATCACTTCATAGTTAATTATCTTCCAGGCAAATTATCTGCTACAGTATTTAGTTCTTACGGATTTTTTGGGTAGATGTCCTACGCTCCTGTAGCTTGTTTTAATAAGAGTTTATATAGCTTTCTTAGAAGCTCAATCTTTTTGGTATTAAAAGTCTTTGGCATATACTACTCAATCCAAGCAATTTGTTATTGACTGATGTATTTTTCACAACATCCTTTTCTTTCAGCAATACAGTACAGCTTCATCCTTTCAAAATGAATAAGGGAAAGGTAATAGGTACAGCAATATAAAAACAAAGCATTTAACTCCACAGCAATGCCCTTTCCTCCACTTTTCAGCCAGAAGTGGTAACTTTTAGCACTGAAGAGCGCCATGGCTAATTAACTGCTTCATCTGCAAGATTCATCCCAAGCCAACATCTTTTCCTTTGCCACAAGAGATGTTGGTTTTGTTAGTTTTTAATCTATTCCATTAAGATTATTTAGCTGAAAAATGACAGCTCCAAAGGTTTAAAAACACCAGCTAGACTAAGAACTGATGGTTAGTTAGGTCTGGAATAATTGAGGATAGAAGTAGACCTGCATGGAGAATTTCAGCTTTTTCTGGAGAAATGAAGCCTGGAAGTTTTTGTGCTTTTCGAGTGACCCTTTATGGAAAGAAAGCACACATGAATTCATTCTGATGAAGAGAAAACATTTTCTGAAGAACTTCTACAGCAAAATGTCTCATCTTGTGGTGGCAGATACTGAGGAAGAAACCATCTATCTCAGCCTGAATTCCTTTGCACTTATCTTTACTGAATTTACCTACTTTGATATTCTACCATTTCTCCAACTAATCCAGCCTCTGCTAATCTTGTCCTTCAAAACTCCCAGTACTATTCCCAATACAGAGTCATCTACAGGTTTTATGAGTGCACCCGCTGGGCCATATTTCCCCCTTTGCTTAAGAGAATGTCATGCAAGACAATGTCATACCCTTAATAAATTTAAGATATATCACATCTGCTGCCTCCTCTTTATCCACTTGGCCAGCTACTCTGACAAGGAACGAAATTAGAAATGGTTTGAGAGAGTCAGTTCTTGAGTAATCTATGCTGGCGGGTTTTATCAGCTTAGTCCCTAGAGGACTACAAAGAGACTGTTTAATAATTTTCTCTTCTGTCTTTCTGGGTATTAGATTACTCCAATTTCCTGGGTTCTTCTTTCTCTCCTGAAAGATGAATTACTCTGCTTGTCCTCCTCAATTCCTCAAGTACAGGGAATTTGCAGAGATAACCCCTAAAGGTCTAGGGATCTCCTAACACGACTCTTAAGTGCAGGAGGGAGAACTTCAGCTGTTCCCCGGGATGCCATTACTTCTCTAAAAAGGCATTAACCTGGTCTTTTCCTATTTTGGTCAGCAGTGCTACCTCTTTATTTAAATCTAATAAAGTAGAGGTTGCAGTTTACCTGTCACTGAGAAGGCTGAAGGAAACAAAGCTTTCCTTGCCACACCAGGTATTCTTAGCTCTTATTTTTCATTAACTAATGAATCTATGCCCTCCTTTGACTTCCTTCTAATTCTAACAGATTTTAAAAACTGTTCAAGTTCCCATTAGTGATCCTTGTCATCTGTAGCCTGTCTCTCTGTGTATTTTTGCAGGCATGTGCTCATCCTTCATTGTGTCTCTTTTTTCTTGTGTAACGTTTGGGAGACTCCCTCTCTGCTTTTCCAGCCAAAGGACTCTTTGTGTGGCCATCTTCATTCCGTACAGTGCTGCAGCAGTGCAATTCCCACACCATCCAGAAACTGCAGTGACATGTCTGGCTGGAATCTTGCTCTGTATATCAGAGAGAAAGCCGTGACTGAGGCTCTGGCCCCTAGCAGCGTATTGGCAGGATGCTTGCCATGGGAAGGACCCTCTGCCAGCACCTTTCTTCCTCGTCGTGCACCCCTGGGACTGACGATACTAGCTTCATCTTAACATTGTCCAGGGCAAGTCCATCGACGTCCTCAAAACAACTCCTCTACCTGTTTGTGGGACTGGATTCTCTGCAAGACAAGTTCTGTGTTTGTCCCCTGTTGGTGTTGGCTGTCTGAAGCAAATCCAAGGGGTTGCTTACTGGTATGGAGAAAGTTCTTTGGCTTCAAGGGGTTTCCTGGATTCATGGGGATGAGCATGGTATCCCACATCATGAGATCTGATATGTCCCTTTGGTCAGGACTCAGTTTCCTAAACATGGATTCCTAGGGATGTTCTGTGGTACGTGTCCAGTTTTTTCTCCAGAAGAAAACAGGTTGATAAATCTCATGGCCTGTCCACAAATCACATGGCGATGCACTGGTTATCCAAAACCATCTCAAATGGCACTAGGTATCTGTACTTAGGGATCATGAATATTTCTTTTCTAGATTTTCACCTTGTCCACTCAGAAAGGACATACTGGAGAAAAATGATCCATCACTGGCAAAGGGAGTGACCAGGGTGCTGCAAACAGCTTCCTTATCTACTAATGAACAGAGCACAGAGAGCCCCAAAATCCGAGATGAGATGAGGTGACATTTGCTTTTTAAGCATTCCATGGATCCCTTAAAGATGTGATTGAAAGAGATTTGGTAGAGGCAGGGGAGACATGCCAGAACTGCTAACAGATGTGGCTACAGAAAATCGGTTTATGTGAGCCCAGAAGCTTGGCAGATAATGGCCCAGGAAATGCTTTCCTGCTTACTTGCCAAACATAAGATATGTCTAATATTTTAGAAGTGCCTGATCTATCCTAGCAATACATACACATCTCATTACAAAGGTCTGGAGCATCATCTCTGCTTGGTTTCTGTTTTGTGATTCCATCCACATCACATTAAATACAGAGAAGCATGCTGGTCAGATGAGCAATTTAACAAGCTCCCAGAGCTATAATGTGAGCCCAGAGTTCTGCTGCAAAATGGCTTGTGAGATTTTTTCAAAACCAGCACGTGGGTTAATTTTTGCCTGCCAAACGCCTTTTAAGTCTTTAGAGCTTATCTTATCAGTTTTCAGCTGGGACCATAAGGCTACAAAACTGAAAGCATAGAACATAAAACTTGCTATTGCTTTCCAATATCGTGGCTGCAAAGCAAGGGTCAGAAAGATAAAAACAAGTACATTGGAAGAATAAGTAGCTTCACTGATGCATCGCTGGTGGTACCCAGAGCTACCCCAACACTTACAGACATTTTATATCAACTAGCCTGAGCCAACGGTCCATGAAGTGATGGTGCCTGCAGCTCATCACCTCTCCCTCAGGGATGGGGCTGAGCTGTGTTAGTCTTATATTTGCTACTGCACAAAGAGCCCGGCCGTGCTCTTCCACTGTCCGGACCAAGTGAGCAGGAGTGATTTTGCCGCAGGTGGTGAGAAGGGAAACAAGATCTGCTGGGACGTCCAGGTATAAATGTGAGGCACCAAGGAGGTCTGAGTGGCAGCCCCCGCTCACTGAGCGCTGAGTCTTCTGCTGTCTCGGGTGCTGTTTCCACGCTGCCCCAGCCCAGGGTAGCATCACAGCAGTTACTCAGTGTCCCCACGCAGAAGGCATGAATCAATTACTGAGAGACCCTTGGTGCTTTGGTGGACACTGTCCCCCTGTCCTGAGTGACTCTGCCCATGGCGTGTTAAGCTCCATATCGATTTACTGACCATACTCTGTATTCGCTGACCGTTCTCTAGCCACTCTGCCTCATTCACTGCTACTGCTTCTGTGTTGTAAGCAGTGGAGACCTCCTTACAGGAAAGGGGAATCTTCCTGTTCACAGTGGGAAAAAGGAGAAAACTATTCCCAGTTATTCATTTCAATTCAAGAGCATCTCTGGTCCACCGGATCTTACCAGGCCTTTCAAATTCCCATGCCACAAACAGAACCATGCTCATGGCTCGCCTTGAATTCCTGCGAGAGACCTAGCACCAGCCACGCGGGGCTGCCTGGGGGGATTCGCGCCAGCCAGGACCTGACTCGGACACCTGAAGAGACCGTGCCACAGCGATGCTCCAAAGGCAGCCCGGGTTGTGAAATGTGCCGTCCCTGCCCAGCTGGTTCTGTCATTTCAAGAAAGAGAATTACCTCAGAGAACTCGTAAAGGATCTAACGTGATATGATTTTGGCATCTGTGTTCTCTCCCAGTTGTAACCTTTTCTGGCTGCACTAGGAGACGTGTCTGAGCCTCGCTGATGGGCCGTGCCAGATTACTCACCACATCAGTGCACTGGGCAAATGGGAAAGTTAAAGTGCCCTGGGGGGTATGCGTTAGAAATAAGGCAGCTTTAGAAAGCCTGCATAAATACTGACTGGAAGTAAGAAAAAAGACCTGGATGAAGATTCTTGTCTACGTTTTCAAAGACATTACAAACTTGCCAAATTTCTCTTTAATATTTCTGAGTATTTCACACATCACAGACTTGAAACATCAAGAGATACCCCATCCTTTTAATTATTGTGTCTTTTTCTCTCAAGGAGACATCATTGTGGAAAAAAAAAACCAAAAACTATAAAAAAGAAAGGGAAATAATGCATATCATTATGATAGGGATAAAAAATAATAGGTAATACTCAAAAGCAAACAAGGTTACTGTGATCTGAAAGTGAAGAAAGGAATAATTTCAGCACCAATAAAGTTGTCATCATAAAAGCATTTTATAGAAAGGGCAAAGAAAGACTGTGATACAAAGGTATTTATAAAATCCGATTAGAGAAATAAATATATATAGGAAGTCCAGCAAGTTCTGCATCCAACCATCAGATTTAGAGTCATGCCTTTGTGTATTTTAAATATTTGTGGAAAGTAATTTAGACATTGTTTCATACTGTCTGCTAAATCAAATATGTCTCAAATTAGAGCCCAGTGCCAAGTTGTTTGATAGTAATTTGTGAGATGGAAAATTCTCTCAGTATTGACAACATCTCTTACATGAGAAATAAACGAAGGAGGAACTTGTGGAAAACTATCTTATGGTTTTGATAGCAATGCTAACAACGGTCTTTAATATCTTGTAGTTTCTTCCCACCTTCAGACTGCTTCTCATTAAGGAATTAACCAGTCACGCTCTTCTTGTGGAGCGCTCCCCTCTTGCTGCGGCGAGGGGGGCTCTGCGCGGGCAGCTGGGGGCCAGGAGCAGGCAGGGGGTAAAGCCACCGCTGCAAGGAGCTGCGGGGCGCGACGGGCCCTGCACTCGGGCTCTGTGTCTGCGCCCACCGGGCTCGGGGGGAAGGACCCCCAAGACCTTCACTGGGTGCTAAATCAGACCCTCACAGGATGAGGAACGGGAGCCCACCAGCCCTTTCTGTAAGCAAGCCTGGCCCCAGCCAAGACCCGCGGATTTTTGCCTGGGCGCAGGCCGGCGCTCTGTGCCGGGGGCACCCCTGAGCACACCCGGGGCATTCCGCGGAGGATGAGAGGGCACGACGAGAGGCTGTGCAGCAGGGATGTGCCGCGCTACGTCACCCCTCGGGACAGACGCCGTAGCGGGGCTGGGTGTGTTTTTATTCTCACGGACTACCTACCACCAACCTAGAGTTTTCCCTCCTCTCATGCATTATTTTAAGTTAATTGACTGATTCTTTATGAGATTTTTATTTGTCTGTGTCATTTTGCAGACTAATCGTGAACGCTGAGAGTACTGGAGAAGTCGGGCTGAACATGTAACGTTCCTGGTTCGATGTGACTGGCCACCCACACCATTCCACGCAGCCCATCTCCTTTCAGTTTTGATCAAATAGCTCTTAGAGAAAACAGGACTTCTCCGGGGTACATCGCCACAGACAGCCTTGAAACGTGGAGGTTCAAGTACTGCACCTGGACACCAGATTTTATGTCTAGACCAGATATCTCTGTGTGCATGAAGCCCACCCTAAGCAGCTGGTGATATTGTAAAACTAAAATTTTATTTCATTCTCTGTCTCTATGCAAAACCATGATAAATATTCCTGTGGGATTTTTGACAGCTGAAGAGATCAAACAGATACAAAATTTTATAAGGTAGGTGTATTTACAAGCCAGATAACTCCCCGCATGTGGTAATCACAGGGTATTTCCTCAGAGATCTTTAAAATCAGCAAAACATGACCTGAAGATGTTTCCCCTTAGGACCCAAATCCTGACCCCTTTTTTACAACCACTCAGCCCTCACTGGAGTGCTGGGATACTGTTTTTTGCTGGTTGGAACAATATTCTTGTGCTCAAGTTTTGAGACAAGGCAACTTAAGGACAGTTTTGGAGCTTTGGATTTGGCTAGGCAGTTCTGAAAACTTCTTATTTAAGCTTTATCACCATGTTCACATTTGAACTGCTTTCTACACCTTCACACAAAATAACTGTACACTCATAATCCCGTTGCACTGCATCCCTTCTCCCAGGGGGCTGGGGTGTGCATGGGTACCCTGTCACAGCAGAGCATTGCGCTTTAATCTGCCAAAGATCTGAATCTGGAACAGCAGAGAATTACACTCAGCTCTCTCAAGTCCCAATACTTCACCTATTATTTTAAGGAAGTTGTCCCCGGAGGTATTAAATAACTGCAAAGTGCTGCTGCAGCAGAGCTAAAGATTTACTAATAATGTTAAACTAACACATCATTTTTTTTTTTTTTTTCAAGGCAGCATTGGCACAGAGCTCTGCTATGAACCATAAGTACATCTCAGGCTCTCATAAAATAAAGCTAAGAACACTTCTAGTGCCAGACCTGATGTCCGCTGATGTCAATAGACATAGCCTGAGGATGCCAATGGAGACACAGTACTTAGCAGACTGAGAATTGGCCTCATCTTACCTGATGTTTCTAAAAGCATTTTCAGAGCTCCCCAGATGCTTTAGATGAATCTAGAAGCTCTCAGGTTGAGGAGGAAAAAGGTTTTTTAGCAACTCCCAAAAGTGGATTAAATTTGTAGAAAATGTCAGACTGGAAATTCGTGTGCATAATGCAAATGATGTCGGCACCTGGAGAGATAGAAATCAAGGAGAATTTTCCCTGCTGTGCATTCAGTTGCCGTCTATGGGAAGTACGCGTGTTTCTGGCAAGGGAACAGAATTATTCACCTGTGATTTATGAAGGAATATGACATTTCTCTGGTCCTTTTGACACCTTCCTTTACAAATGGGCCATTTTGCACCTGCCCAGCTCTGCACAGTGTTGCCAGTCATTCAAGGAGAGGAACAGGATAGAATGGGTGGGGGACTGTGGGATGTCTAATGGAGAGGGGTCAGCACTCGCTGAGAAAAGTCAAAGGGAGAACATACATTTTCTTTCCTACAAAGACGGTAAGGTGGGAAGAAAACAGAGAAATGAAATCTATTGGTTTCGCAAGCTGGAGGGCTCCCAAGTGGGCCCTCTCTGAAAGAGGCTCTCAGAACTTTTGAGCTACTCATGGAGTACAAGAAACCCCAGCAACTTTATATTGCTGTGCCGTGGTGTGAGCAAGCACAATGAATAGGAGCACAAGCATCACAAGGTCAAATGGGATAGACAGAGCCCAAAAGCTGAAGGAGCAGAAAATGAGACAGTTTCCTTGGAAGATGGAGATCTCCTCTTTCAGTAATGTCTCCTTTCTTCCAGGAGACGAGAGGGCTGTTTACGAACCGGTCCTGAGCCTTTCCTCTCACGGCCAGGACTTGTTGAGGCTTTCCATGTCGATGAGGAGTCCCAGGATGAGAGAAACTGGAAGGGAATCTAGAACAATTCTCAGTGATTCTGAGGGTGATCCAAGCAATACCCAGAACCACCCAGACTGCTGTTAGCATCAAGCAATGAAGAAAGATGATGCAGTATTGAGCTGATAAATAATTATGCAAATAAGATTAATGCCAGCCACTATGGCTCTATGGAAAACAAGTCTTGCTGTAGAAATGGTATGCCTTCCTCTTATGGGCTTCTGAGTGAAACAGAAAGAGGGAACCACATGAACTAAGAAGTGCACTGTAAGTTGATCAACTGGCACATCTTAAAAGGGTGCGTTGTTGGGTGGTCATCAAATAGAAACTTGGAGGATACCAGTCTGACGCTCAAGACATTTTTATATTCTCACTAAAGTTTTTTAAGTAAATGTGAAATCACTGCTGATAATGTTTGCCACGTTGTTGCTGGCGACAGGATGGTAAAGAACAAAAAAGGCAGGGAATGGATCTGCAACAATCTGGATGATGCAAAGAAAACCTATCTGTGATGCAAGGAAACGTTACTCCCTCAGGAAAAAGGAACGTATGTCTTGCCATCAGAAAAGCCCATATCTGGAAAGCCATGAGTTTGTTGAGGCTGTGGTGTCAGGGTGGACCAGCAGCTGAAGAGCTCATGGGACCAGGATGTGGTCTGTGAACTGGGTATATCTTAAATACATGCAAATTCTGCTTTATTTGATTTACAGTGGGCACTTTGGAGTTGGTTTTTCCCTGAAGCAGCCAATATCAGCCTTCCTCGGAGGCACTGATAGCACCAGCCAGCTGGCGTTTCCACCACCTGGGGTAATTACAGTAAAGGAACAGCATCCACCTGCTTATATTTGTGGTATTTGACTGAATTAAGCATTTCTGTGTCTTTCATATCAAGCCAACTTGGGACACCAGACTGGAAAAGTTTTAAGGGAGAGAAAACAACTTAACAGCAGCTGCTGACAGACACACACGCGTTTCCTTGGGAAACCAGGGCAAAAATCTGCCTGTGTGCATGACAAGTTACGTTCTTGATATACACCGCAAAATATGAGAAGCTTTTTGGTCTGATTGATTTTTTTAGCCATGTTAATGAGAATCTAGCAGTAGTATGTAAAGCAATTAAACATAATCAAGGTAATTATAAACACTATGTAATTTGACAAGGTTGAAATAGTAGCTTTTAAATGCTTGCCTGGTTATATTAGGCTTTTACAGTGAGGCCAATGTTTTACAGACAGGAAGGCAAGGAGATAGCATTATCAAGATGTCCTGGGAGGGATGAGGAGTTGGTTACGGTTGTAGGCATCCATGGCAGGTCCCAGGCGCTCCAAGGCTACCCCCCCTCCAGATACTGACCTTAGATGCAGTTGAACGCCTACTCATCCACTTCCACAGCCTCGGGTACGCGCATCAGGTCCTGCCGAAGCCCTTGCTTCCCAGCCACACGCCCTCGTGCAGTCTGTCCGAGAGCAACGTGTCTGTGCATGCCAGCAGCTATGTACCAGAGCTCCCCTGACACAGATGCCTTTGCAAATTAATCTCTGTCATTATGGCTGGCAACAGTTTAAATGAAGACCGCAAAGGCGTTCTGGTGCTGTCTGCTGCAGCCAAGTGTTTTGTGGCTTTACTTAGAGCTTTCAGTAAGTTACTGCCTGCAACAATACTGGGGAAGCAGGGAAGTGCTGGTGAAAAAATACAATTTTAATCGGAGGTGATTTTTCTTGGTGCTTACAGTTGTCCATACACTTCAGAAAGGATAGGGTCACACTGTTGTCACAGCTGTTGTCATTTGCTTTGAGGATTGTTGGAAGCTTTCACATGGGTCACTTGCTACTCTGTTTCCAAAGACATGGAAATGCTCCAAAAAGAAGGGGGACCTTTAAAGACAAATTGTTAAAAAACAAAAGCCCTGCTTCTCTGCTCGCCCAACTTTGGTACCCTGACAGTGGCATTTAGTCTGATGTGCTACTAAACCGACTTTTTTCACAGCGCTGTTCCCGCTCGGTCATGTTTAGCAGCAGGAAGCAAAGCCTACTACTGTCTGAGGCCCTCCACATCCCCAAACTCCATCATTAGTCACACATTTTTGTACCCAGCGAAGCACTGTGGCAGAAGTCTTGTGTTGTCTTCGCCTTCCTGCCATCTTCTTGCTCTCCCCATGAAATGCTAGGAAGTGCTGAGTACTTCTGCTGCCTTTCTGACTCCTGGGTCTTTGCTCACAGCTTACCCCAAGCATACTGGTGGCCAGTGATGGGTGGGTTTTGCCCTGGCCCAGACTATCTGGGTAGAGCTGCACATCTCAAACAGATCCTTGCTTCTCTCATCTCTACGTTCTATACCATTATAATTTCCTTACCTGGAAACAGCCAGCAACGAATCCTCAGGTCTAGCATTCCAGTTAAATGGTGCCTCCTTTTAGTCCTCTGAGATGTTTCCAAATCAAGCAAAAAGGGACCAAGTTGACGAGACGACACTCAGGCATGCTGCTCTCTAGACGTGTCCCTTGGCTGTAGCATGCTTTGACACCTCCTCTTATGGAAAACGTGAAAAACCAGCACTGAAATGATGACTGTCCACCACAGGGATGGACAACCCCCTGTGCAGGGCTTGTCTCCATATTAAAGCTAGCTGCCTTCTCCTAGTAAACCACATTGTGCTTTAGCCCCACCTGCAATCCACCTGAAAATACTTCCTTGTGACAACTCCACAAAGCGATGGGGTGGAAGTCATCACCATTAGCCCAGCTGTCCAAACACAATGCATCTGATCTAAATCAAGCTTATAGGTCTTTCCAGAGTCCAATCAAGAGAAACAGGTGTGCCCAAAGAGTGGTTTGACCTAGTTTTGGACATATTATTTCTCTATTTTTTTTTTTTTTTTAAGGGACATTTTTCTTCAAAGCTGTAGTGGACCTTGCAGATTGTACCCTGGGTGACACTTGCTATGAAGGATATGAGGGGGAGAGAGTCACCTCCGAGGTTAGCAGGAGATGGGCATAACTTACATGAAACAGGAAATTCTATTATGTTTGGTGCAAGAGAGTATGTATGGCCTGAGAAAGGGGTTGCAGAATTTCTGCGTTAGACCCTCCTTTGCTGCCCAAGTTGCAGATTACAGCGCTTTCTCCATCTCAAGAAGTGAAAGCAAAATGTCTCTAACTGCTCTTTCTCTGGTGTGGGGGTTGAGCCTACTTTCACAGCAGCTGTTTCAGGTGTTTGCACCCAGCGCAGGAGGTGCTGAGCTGAGGTGGGCCCTCAAGGAGAGACCGTGGACACCCGGCTCCTTCAGGATGCTCGGCTCAGGAGTCAGTGTTCTGGGGATCAACCAAGGAAGACATTGCTATTTTCTTCCTCGCCACAAGCACCAGTGCTGCAGATAGCACAGCTCCCTTGCTGAAGAAACAGAGAGGGAAATCTAAGAGTAGTTCTGACCTTAACAGCAACCTCACTCCTTTCAGCACCAAAACCTGGGCGCAAATTCCCTGAATTGGACAGTAGTGTGGGAGCTGTGGGGCACCCCGTGCTCCATGGAGCGGCTGGCA